ACTTGGCACCGCTGAAGGGACTGCAGCACCGCCCAAATTTCGACGGAATCAAAGGCTTTCTCATAGTCCACATACGCCAGACATAGTGGCAAATTGTACTCTTCGGAATTGACCAAGAGCGCTGCAATTGCCACTACCACTATTTTTTATTTGCGCATAGGTCAGGAGCTTCTTGTATATGCTTTCAAATACCCTAGCACTAGGATTGTTGTTTGATCCACCGTGGCATCTTATACTTCCAAACAGGTGTTCCAAGTGGTCCTGGCTTATTTTATGTAGAGGAAGATATTTTAAGGCGCACTCTGAGTTCAGGACCAAGTCTTGAATGAGAGCAATGGCACTTTCTATACACTCACAAAACCCTATGAATCCGGTATATCGAGGTGACTTAACGAGTCGAACTTCTTGTTTTACAGTTCTTACAATTATGTCTGCGGACATATTTAGTATAGCATCTCTAGCTGTCTTTAATTTAAATATAACATTCGCAGCATTTTCTGCATTGACTGCTCGTTTTAAATCATATCCATGGATGTGCGAGTCCAGAATATCAAAAAGGTCATTCATCTTATCCAGAAACTGTGTTGTGGGTGTTACTTCTTGAAACTCACGTAAATTAAGCTTTTCTTTGCAAAATGTGAGTGCATCTGATACACTCTTACTAAAAATTTGGGTTGCTAAGCTTACTTTCATAATTTTCGTTTTAAAAAATATATGAGCAGCCCTTAGTCGATTACCTAGATGAAAATTTTCCGCTGTTTGTAGATTATGTAAGTTAAAGAGATATTCCCACGATATAATATTGCCCCGTTCGTCCTTCAAATTCCTATAAAACTCAAATGTATTTCGCACTAACTTGATCATGTGTGCCGGATCTAAAAAGACCGCTATTTTTGAAGTATTGCAGGGGTTTTTAAAGGTGGTGTTTATTTGATCAACTTCAAACGAACAGCCTAACTTTTTAGCCATAGTAATATTAGCAGGGCAGCCGTCAAACGTAATGGCTTTGACATTTACACCAGCCTCTTCTACCAAATGGATCGCCTCTGTTAGAAGAGCGGCTTTTTGTTCTGCATTAATGCCATTTATTAAAAAATATCCTATTGGAATTTTCCTGGATGCATTTATTGGCACTGGCAAGAAAACAAGGGCTTCTTTAGCTTCATCTTGACAGTCCGTTTGTAAACTGGCGCCAAAACTCACGTGGCCATAGTACCTTCTGGCTTGGGGATGATATTCGACACTTTTTTTGTCAAAGTATTCAAAATTTCTTTTAGATTTGCATTTTTTTTAACCAATAATCTATTTTTATCTTGAAGCCTCTTAACCTCTTTCTTTTTTTTACTAAGGGAATATATAAGATGGTCTATGTGTCGTTTCATTTTGCGTTTACGTGGAGTCAGGTCTTCAATTACTGGGTGTACTATTTCTTTGTTACCTATTGTTGAACTCTGAAAAATAATAATATATAAATATAATAAATAAGAAAAGAAGAGGTAATAAGAAATATTAATATTGAATTTTGTAGAAATATTATTTGAGAAGAATATAAAAATGAAGCTTACGGGAATTTCATAATCATGGGAAGGCCTGAAAATGTTACTATCATCAAATGGAAAACAATGCAAAGGAGTCTGGGCTTCAGTTGATGTATGAGCTTCAGAATGCACTTGTTTATTTGATAATGAAGTCTGTAATTAAACATGTCGGATATCAATAAACGCAGTCACATAAAATTTATCTCATGGACTTATCATCGAAACTAATTAACTTACGAGGGCGATATTGTGACGTGAAGGCCCAGGTACATTAGTATAAGAGTCAATCATATAATTTGGTGAATCCTGTAAAGAATGAATATTTCTTATATTCACAATTTCACTTTTCCTAACGTTATATCAATAAAAATAAAACTTACTAAAATAGGCAAAAACAACGTTGGTATCGCTGAACTAAATAGACGGCGGCGTTCTTTTAAATATTCAAAACAATCGGGGGTGAAGTGCCTTGAACAAACAGCGCTGTATTTTGTTGGAAACCAATTTTCCCTATTAACCTTATCTATCCACTTTTCTTTTAGTTCTGGAATCTTCGGAAATCTAAAATAAAAACATGTATGTCAAACACACAGACGAAAAAAACCTGTTTACATCACCGTCCTCAAAAATTACATAAAAAATAATTATTGTGCAAAACAACAAATAGAACATTATCAAATTCATAGTGCGTTATCAAATTCACTATCATTTTATGACAGTCTTCCCCGAAATTGTAGCGAATACAAGTGAAATTTGTATTAATTTATTGTTATCTGTGGATTCGTAATAATTGGGTGTGAAATCACCCGACCGCACTGGTACCTATCGGACCCAGCGGTGTATGAAGCCATAATTATCTTGGATCGATCGGTCCCGGAAAGAAATACAAAAAAATCTCGGAAGATACATAAAAAAATACTGATAAACTGAGAAACTCCTCCTTTTTGAAGTCGGTTAAAAGTAAATAGGTATTTTATTACACGTGAATTGAATAAAAATTTTATTAATTTTAATTTTCATATTTCCGATATCGACTTTCAGCTATTAAAAAGGTAACAGCACTAATTTTTACAATAAACATACAAAGGGAAAGAAAGGGATAGAAGCATTAGAATTGTCTAATGAAAGAACGAGACTTTCCCAAAAGACATCAACGCGCGTCTCAACATGTGCTCGTTTAAATAACCACCATTTTAAATAGACCCCTGCAGTCGCTCATAATCTGATTAAATCAAAAATAATTTTCATGCTGTTTACTTACCGATGAAAAGTTATGCCATCTTTTTTGTAACTAGATGTCTTGGAATGTTTCCCACACCACTTCACCGCGCATGAAGGCATTTTGATGCGTTATAATTGCATAAAAAGTTATAAAAATTTATATTAATTTAGCGTGCACACAGGTCTAACACTTGGACACAACTAAAATGGTTACTCGTACCGTAGCCTAGTAAACTAAATACTAATAGTTTTCGAGCGTCGGAGCACTATATGCGCAGTCAAGTGGTTATATTGTCATTGGGTACACTGAAAGATTTGCGTACATAATTCATAAATAAAACAATTGCGTTGTTAAATAAAACAAATGTAAACTTATATATTTACTGCTTTTTAAAGTATTCTCCATTACATTTTAAACACTTTTTTATTCATCTGAAGGCATGTTTTTCCGTAGAGGTAGGGTTCCGTAGTTGCCCATCACAATACGTTGGCTTTCTTGATAATGAGCATAATAAGTGAGTTTGCGGTTTTTACTGGAAATGAGGCATTCCATCTTAGTTCTCACGGGTGACAACGCATCTACATTTTGATTTGTAATAGAGGATAGATGTAGATGTCTATGGGCCGCAGCAACCACTTACCATCAGGTGGTATTTTTACGTGGTAGAGCCATGCTGCAACTATATTAGTAGTATAGTTGTAGCATGAATGGGTCGGCTCGACCGGGGAAGGACCACGCTCTCACAGAATACCACCGTAAAATAGCAGCTCAATGCTGCTGTGTTTCGTATGGTGAGTGTAGAGAACCGGAGACCCTTTTTACTGGAAAAGAGGCACTCCATCTTAGTCCTCACGGGTGACAACGCATCTGCATTTTGATTCGCAACGAGGATAGATGTAGATGTCTATGGGCCGCAGCAATCACTTACCATCAGGTGGACTGTGTGCTCGTTTGTCACCCTTATCCTATAAAAAAAACTTACAGGGAGTGGTATTCAAAAAAGATAAAAAACTTTTCAATTTTGATAATAATACCCTATCCTTACCGCAAATAAAAAAGTAAAGCTAAGCAGGTATGCATATGTCGTTTTCTTCATAAAATGTTTATTTTTAAGTTTACAATTACATTACTAATGCAGCTAGTTTTAGGTCATTTTCTATGCAGTTATAACGAAAATTTTACTAATTCAATTGTATTTCATTAGTTGGTCAACTATTACTCGTTAACTTCCTAATTCTACTAAGCTATGATAGTTTTCTTTTTTAGTTCATTATATATGCTACTATCGTGTATATTTTTCACATTTTCAAAAACAGCAGTTTAGTTGGTGTAGGGGGAGGGTGGGTATGGGTAGGTATGACTCTAATGAAAAATACCACTTTAAAGCTAAATATTTCGCAAACCGACCCCTGAATCGAAAAGATGTTGTTCCACATCCCCAGTGTTTTTGAAAGACTTATCCAACGATACCCCACATGATAGAATAGACGGGTAAAAAAATCATTCTCCATTTACTTGTATGGGAAGTACCCAAAATAAAAATGTTTTTTAAGATTTTATTTCACATTTTTCTAGGCGTGATTAATATCTATAACTGTGTCATATTACAGATTTGTAGCACCTTCATCACGATCCTCAGATCTGTAGGAAGGACAGACGGACGGACGTAAGAACCGACGGATATGCCGAAACTATAAGGGTTCCTTGTTGTGTAACTACGGAACCCTAAAAATAGCGGGAATTTGTCAACACAAAAGGAGTGGTTTTTCATCATGATAACGCCAAGATCGCAACAAGATATCAAACAAAATGATACATATATATTATAATAAACTGTAACGAAAAATATGTCTTGAATTTGTATTTAAAATACGAAGAAACGTTTTCCCAGACCTTATTGATTGCTTTATGGTTTGTGTTGCTCATGCTCACTGCCGCTGTCAATCTGTCAAGTGTCAATGTCAAACCAGTTTTATCTGTGCTGTTGCTCATGCTCACTGCTGTCAAACCAATTTAGATTTAGTTTATAAAATTAAATTTATTGAAAAGGAAAAGTGAAATGTAATGTTATGATCAGATAATAACGATTGTTGAGAATATTAGTTTGTTTTTTAAGTACCTACATATTTGATTGTGATATTTTTATGTTATAATTTTTCAAGAAAGTTCGTGCCGTATTATGTAGAGGTTATAATATTGTAAAATTTTTCGAATTACATCTCATCTACTATTTCATAATCATGTATTCTCCTATATCAGCGTTCGCGATGTATAAAGCTACCATGCAATCTACACCAAAACGAGACAAAAAGAAAAAGAAAAAAGTATCTTTATCACCAAAACATACGTCTCCTAATTTAAAAGAAAACGTTATGATAAAGATCGCTCAAAAAGTGAAACGAAAACAAAAAAAGGTAAAGGAGCCCAAAAATATTATAAAGAAGAAAACTCACAAGAAAAAGAAATTAAAAATTAACAATAAAAAGGATGACGGTTTAAATCATGCAAAAATTTTAGATGAAGATGATTACGAGGCTACTGAAAGCGAGGAAATTCCGGCGCTAATTCCAGCCCCGCTATCTAATACAGATTGTAACAACATTACTTATGAGAATGAGTCCTGTTCACACTCAAGCAATGGTAGTTTTGACTTCACTCCAGTTGTAACAGACAGTTGTGAAGAAGCCCTAAAGGTGTTCAAGTGGATGATAGCTCCTTATAACATCAATGACTTCTTTAAGTGTATCTGGGAAAAGAAACCCTTACATATTGCTAGAAATAAGCCTAAATACTACAGTGATATTATTTCTACACCAGTGATTGATAAAATGTTACGCACTGAGAATATACAGTTCACCAAAAATATCGACATTACATCTTATGTTGATGGAAAAAGAGAAACGCACAATCCTGAAGGAAGAGCTCATCCCCACTTGGTGTGGGATTTCTATTTAAATGGTTGTAGTATTAGATTATTAAACCCCCAAACATATATATCAAAATTACACCTCCTAAATGCTACCTTACAAGAATATTTCAATTCCTTTGTTGGTGCAAATGCTTACTTAACACCTCCAGATAGTCAGGGATTTGCTCCGCATTATGATGATATTGAAGCCTTTATTTTGCAAGCTGAAGGCAAAAAACATTGGCGTATATACAAGCCTCGAGAGGAAAATGAGGTATTACCCAGAGTGTCATCAAAGAACTTTTCAGAAGATGAAATAGGACAACCAATATTAGAAGTAACATTGCAAGCTGGAGACATGCTGTATTTTCCACGGGGATATATTCATCAAGGTGTAACAATTGATGGGGAACATTCTCTTCATGTCACTGTTAGTATGTATCAGAAGCACTCTTGGGCGGACCTATTTGAAAAGATGGTTCCTGCTGCCTTACAAATTGCAATTAATGAAAATACCGAATTTAGACAAGGCCTACCATTTGATATCTATGACAATTTCGGAGTAGTCCATTCAGATGCGAGTACACCAAGGAAAGTAGAGATTGAAGAAATTATAAAAAATCTCTTCTATAAAGTCAAAAACCACCTGCCTATAGATGAAGCTGTTGATCAGATGAGTAAAAATTATCAACACGATGCCCTACCTCCGGTTCTGAGTGACTTGGAGAAAGCATGTACAGTATATGGCGACACAGATGTGATGGTTGAAAATGGTAAAGTTACAAATAGAGTAGAAATAAGCCTGGACACAAGAATAAGATTATTAAGAAAAAATATAATAAGAATGGTAGCAGAAGAGTCTATAAGGCTGTATTATTATGCTGAGAATTCTTTAGAGTATCATGGAAATGAGTTAACATTCCTTGAAATTGAAGAGGAATTGGCACCTGCTATCGAAACACTGATCACTTCTTATCCAGAATATGTTACTGTTGAGAACCTAGAAGCACCCAATGATACTGATAAAATACAAATAGCTGATGCTCTGTGGGGTAGGGGCTTAATTATGACTGAATATCCTTTAGAAACTGTGTTCGATTAATCTTGAATAACTTTTTTGGTAATTATGTTTCATAGAAGCTAATACCATAGAAAATAAGATGCATTTACTTGCTATACTGTTTTCCTCTAAGCAAAATTGTTTATAGCAGCAAATTGATGTTTACATGTTTTGTTTCTAATATAAATTACTCTGAATTAACATTTTTTTAATTTATTGAAGATCTATGCTTACAATTATTTAGTGCCATTGAGGTAAAGTGTACTTTGTGCTAAATTATCTGCACACTTACTTGAAAAGTTAAAAAAACATTAGATGATAATCTCTATGGTTTGCAACCAACCTAAAGGAGAATGGTATCAATGTCGAATGATGAGTCTAAAGACCAGAGTACCTGACCACTATGTAGCAGTTCCCCATTTCTAACATTAAAAAGTAATATTCACTTGGGGATTGGATGTGATAGGCTATGGCTAGGTTAAAACTAATGGCGGCCGCTGCTCATATCACACAGTTGATAATTATTAATTAAAAATTATACCAATCATATTCAGACTTCAATGTGGGCCATATCAACTAGGATAAGATCAGATATTAAAACAAAAACTATTTCTAATGTTTCTGAAGATAAATTATAAAGCTTAATCCATCCATAACAGCCTATAAAAGTTCACTGCTGAACATAGGCCTCCCCTATAGATTGCCTCATAGGAGGGATTTTGCCATAGTTGCCACACTTGGCAGGCGAGTTGGCAACCGCAGTTTTTTTTTGTTTTGAGTTGTTGTCAGGAAGATGCTGCTGCCCTTCACCTGTCACCGTCACCTTACGACACCTACGGGACAATATGGGGTAGCGGATATTCTTAGACAAGTAAAAAATGAACAAGGTGTCAACATAAATCTAGTTTGATTTAATTTTACTTAGTACGTATAAACTTAGCAGAAAAATGTATCAGTGCAAAAAAAATAAACTTATGACTTTGAATAACATTATTATAAATGCCTAAAGTCAGAGTTAATCTACGTTCCGCTTGTTGGAATTGATGAGATCTTGACTTTGTTAGGTCGGTGAACTGTCAAGGTATGGCCTACATGGTTCAGGTTGGTAGACTCTAGGAGGATGTTTTACCTCGGGGAGGAAGATGATTTTTGGGGCCTACATCTGCCACTTTCAAGCACTCACAGTTAGGGTTTCCACGCAAACACGAAGAATAGTAGCCTGTATGAGCGCATCCGTGTTTCGGCGGGAGGGAGTTCAAATGTCTCTCATGAAGAGAAGCCACTAGTGGGTGGCCACATAGGTACGCGAAATCATTTCCGTGTCCTTGCACATATACGGTTAAGATGGAACATCATGGAGCATTTAGTATTATTTACGTGGTAGAGCCACACTGCAGCTATATTATGGCCGCAGTACGAACGGTTCGGCCCTACCGGGGTAGAACCACGCTCTTACAGAATACTAGGGTCAAATACCAGCTCAATGCTGTTTTTTCGTATGTGGAGTGTAGAGAACCAGATACCTTTTTTACTAGAAACGAGGCATTCATTTTAGTCCTCAGGGGTGACAACGCATCTGCATTATGATTCTTAATCGGGAGATAGAGATAGATGTATAGAGGCCTATGGCCCACAATATCCACTTACCATCAGGTGGACTGTGTGGTTGCTTGTCACCCTTATCCTATACTTAAAAAAAGCTTCTGCTTGGAGTGTACAATGTCAGATCTCATCCATGAGATCTGACAGGGAAGGGTTATGCCAGGTAAGCACCAATTAAATTGTATGGTGTTTCAACTTCGTAGCGTATAGGCAGGACCACAAGGACACCCACACACTCATGTAGCACCATTAGCCAGCTGTCCCTTGGACAGGATAGGACAACTTTCCTCTTTGTTCTCTTCAGACATGGCGCGCCATACACAAGTGTACCATATAAAAAGGCACTCTGTGGGTGGGCATACCACTAGGCTTGCCAACCGTCCCGGATTTTCCGAGACGTCCCGCTTCTTCGTCAATTTTGGAACGTCCCGCCGTAACCCCTTGCGGGACGCCTTTTGTCCCGGAAATCAGTGATTAAATTATATTAGTATCTATCTCGTCCCATTTACACCTTAGCCGTAACTTCGATACCACTTTGAAATGCATCAGCAGAGAGAGTTTATTCTCTCTGCTGAAATGCATGGATATACAGCAGAAATAAGCTGTTTGTTGACCACATCAAGGCTGAACTACAAATTAACATTAATTTTGATCAAAAATGCAATGAGTTTTATAACCAATGTGTTTTTTTTTCTAACCAGTTTGTATGTGGTGTGTAGTGTCCCGCGTAATATACCCAAGTCCCGGATGTCGAACTGGGTAATCCCGGAAATGCCTTTTTTGGAGTTGGCAAGCCTACATACCACCCCTTGTAAGAGGTATCAAACACATACGGCGCTCTGGTATGGTGGACCAAAACAAATGAAGCCACCACCATAAAGAAGCTTCAGCGTTACCAGACACTAGCATGTATGGCTGCCACAGGCTGCATGAGAATTACGCCAACAGCAGCCTTAGAGGCGATGCTGGGGCTAAGCCCGCTTCATCTACACATACAACAAGAAGCTACTTTAGCTGCCATTAAACTCAAGACCCTAAATCTTTGGAGTAAGAATAGAGTCCCTCATACAGGCATAATTGATAGAATTCACTCAAAAATTCCTATCTTACAAGCCAAATACGAAAAGATCCATAAACAATTTGTATTCGATAAGAAGTATAAGATACAAATAAATGAAACCAGCCAACCAGCAGAGGGATTAAGCCCAAAAGAGTTTAGAGTCTTCACCGATGGTTCTAAAACAAATGAAGGTGTAGGATCTGGATCTTTTTCTGAAGACCTCAACATCCACATATGCACACCGCTGGGTACCTACAACACAGTCTTTCAGGAGGAATGTATGGGTATCATTCAAGCGGCCATAGCAATAGATGCTAGAAAGGTTAGTGACTTCTCCATCAGAATACTGACCGACACTATGGCGGTACTATAAGCCCTGAGCTGTAATGGGGTGAGCTCAGGACTAATATATGAATGCCACCAACGATTAAATGAGGTATGTAAACACAACAATGTGACTGCAAGGGATAAAGGGACACAGTGGATCCAGAGGCAACGATGCAGCAGACGAACTGGCCAGAAGAGGATCGGCTCTGGCCACTGGAACCAATTATACCAATCCCCTTTGGTAATGTTCGTTCACTGGTACGTAGACACTACACTAATCAACACGCTCAACTTTGGAAAAATCTAGTAGACTAGACAAGCTAGGGAGGCCCTGCCTGAAATAAGCAGTCGTTTAACCAAAGTTCTAATGAGACTGAACAAGCCGCAGATCAGGATAGTAACAAGTGCTATCACAGAACAGGGTAACTTTAACAAACATTTATTTACCATAGGTGTTACAGACAGACCCCTGTGCAGGGCACGTATGGGGGAGGAAGAAACGGCGGCCCACATGTTTCTGACGTGTCTGGAAGTCACTGTACAGGGCTAAACATCTCGGCACGTCGAGATCACTCCCCGAAGTTGCTTGAAACATCAAAGGACTGTTGAACTTCTTCGGGGAGATTTCATGGCTCGAATAAATACATTATTCCTGCGCACACGCAAAATACGCGCTTAGACGAAGAGTTGCAGAAAACAGCCCGTTTATTCAATTCAGTTCAAAGAGGTGTCAAATAGACCTTGCAGCTGCTTGGGGATTTTCCCATAAGAAAACAAAATCAAGAGTAATTGTTAAATATCCCTATTGCTACTTACATTATATTAAAAAATTAAAATTAAAAATCCATTTATTTCTTTCTCAAGGCATACTAAATAATAAAGTAATTGGAGCCTCCTAGTAAGTATAAAAGAATACCTGTGTCAGGAGGCACCGCTCTTCCTAATAACATTAAATATTGAGATAAGCCGAGCAAGATTACGCATGATTTAGATTAGGTGTGTGTTTGTGTGCGTGTGTGTGTGTGTGTATGTATGGGTGTGAGTGCGTGTGTGTTTGTTTGTGAGCGTGCGCGTGTGAGTGTATGTGTGTACGTGTGATTGTAAGTGCTTAAAAGTGTAAGCATTTTAATTATTATTATTTTATGTAATTTTATTTAATTCTATTCTATTGTGATAAACAAATATATTATTTAATTCCGTGACGTAGAATGTTTTCTGTGGTGTGATAAGATAATTTTTTAAGATGATCGGTAAGTATTTTTTTACATTCGCTATAATTAAGCCGGTGAAAGTTTAATTTTTTATTTAAGTAATTATATATATACATATTCTTGATTGGGCACAGTACTGTCCCTCAGCAAATTTAGATTTTATATATTGAATATAATATATATTGAAATAAAACAAGCAATAATATTAAAGTTACATATTTAATATTAAAAATGTATGGGCAGTTGAGCATCTCATTCATTTATATTTTCAATTACTTTACACAGAAATTGAGTACGCAAATTCATAATCATGAACAAGTAACATGTGTCATCTATGTGTTACTGTAAAAGCTCGAACTACAGTAAATCCTAAGATTTTTCAGTAAAATCTAGGATTTACCAAGTCTTAATGGTAAAAGTCCGAAATGTTCTCTGGTAATCAATAATTTCGGATTTAAACTACAATCCACACAAGTCAGATAGAGATAACATGCTTGCATGCACATTGCATGGTGTAGAGTTTAAAGAAAATAAAGGCTGAAATGTTCAGAGGGCTTAACACTCATCCACAGAGTACCTTTATATATACTGAAACTCATCCAGCCAACGAAAAATAGAGCATATCATGAGAGAGTCACTATAGAGTCAATACCATATGATATTAAATTTGTACTGACAATAATCTCAAAAGAAAAATTAATGAATAGTAAGCTTAGCAAACGTAGGTATTATGTTTGTGAGAAGAAAACAAATATATTTTTCTGTATTACACGTAAAAAACTCCTAAAAATCTTTTAAAATTTAGTCGGTAACATGATTATGTTTAATAAATACTTTCTACTTATATTATATTTTTTTATTTCCAAAAACATTTACTAATAGTCATTGGTAAAACCTAGCATGTACCAAACTCTAATGTTAAAAGCTCGAAAAATGTCTCATGTTTTGTTTTTACCAGGTAATGTTGGTAAATCCTAAGATTTACCCAATTACGGGCTTTTACAGTAACATATGCACCCTTCTAATTATATAATAGCCAAGTTTTTACATTAATAGAATATAAAATAATAATAATAATATTGCATCATTTGGTGAGTTCACGCCAGTAAAGCAGTCGAGAAGTGCTTTCTTCCAACTTATGTACGACTCATATTGCACTCTCAAGATGTACTTTCAAATTTACATATTTTTATTTGTTTACCAATTTTTTTTATAGTATAGGGTGACAAACGAGCACACAGTCCACCTGATGGTAAGTGGTTGCTGATATTCTGTGAGAGCGTGGTCCTTCCCCGGTCGAGCCGACCCATTCGTGCTACAACTATACTACTAATATAGCTGCAGCATGGCTCTACCACGTATGAAAACCAATATAAATGAATAAACAGAAAATGCTATTATAAAAAATCACATAACATTAATTAATATGGCAAAGTTTAGAGTATACAAAGTCAAAGAAGAAATGTTTGTTTGCAATTTTACCATTATCTATTATTTATTATGTGCCATTATTAGATTATTCAGATAAAAAATTAGCTGCTATTACATATTATATATATAGCCAACATACTGATAACACTTAAGTAATAATTTGAACATATTTGTATTTCTAGTTAAATAATTGATATTTGTTGGATATACATTACCAAAAAATACCATAAAAATGACACCTGGTTTTTTAAGGTAATAGGGCAAGATTATAGACAGCATACAAGTTTCTTGTCTGTTGCATTCAATAAAGTTAAAGCTTTAACTAACATCACCTTCCAAATAATTAAAAAACAAAACCCCTTATTTGGAATAACATTCAATATTGAATGAACAATTTACATACCAATATACTCGAAATGCTAGAAGCAACTCACCAAAAACGGTACAATCACAGAGGTACAAATAAGCATGCATGTAAAGAAAACAATACATATTTCTGTCCGTAAAAAATGTTTGTGGTATAAAGAAATACATATTGCAATAATTATTTGTCAAAACTTGCTACATTATTAGGATCAAAATAACGTATATCAACCTCATGTAAAGTTATATTGAATTACTGAATGATAGTGTGAGTAATTGCATTCAATTATGGCCATTAAGAAATTTGCATAGTGTAAATAAGACATTAAACCACAGGCACTAGTCATGAGCTGTGATAATCCTAGTGAGAATACCACACCATACTGTTACAGCCTATTAAAGTCCACTGCTGAACGTAGGCATTGTCACGCTTGGCAAGCAATTTTTTATTTTTAGTCATTATTAGAAAGGCTGCTCCTGATTTGTTTCCCTCTGCCGCCTTTTACGACACCTACAGCATAGTGGATATTCTTACACCACCAGTACACAGTTGACCACGTCTTAGTGATGAGATTACTGAATTATCTTGAAATCTTAATATGTCTGCCAAACTTTTAATTTACATCGGGAAATGGGAGAAACCTAAATTATAAAATATTATTACATACAGACAGTTCAAAGATTATAAAATATAAATCATAAGAGCAATTTAATAATGCTTCTTTTTTTATAGGATAGGGTGACAAACAAGCAGACAGTCCACCTGATGATAAGTGGTTGCTGTGACCCATTGACATCTAATATTTATCCTCAATAAAGAATCAATATGCAGATGTGTTGTCACCCGTGAGGACTAAGATGGAATGCCTCTTTTCCAGTAAAATGGGTCTCCAGTTCTCTACACTCACCATACGAAACACACCAGTGTCAAGCTGCTATTTTAAGCTGGTATTCTGTGAGAGTGTGGTACTTCCCCGGTCGAGCCAACCCATTTGTGCTACAACTGTAGCTTCTGTTTAGATTAACAATTAAATAATACATAAGAGGAAAATTTAAAAAATATATTAACTAAATGCAAAAGAAGGGTTATGGTGATACAGATAAAAACTAATGTTAAACCGTATGCTTAGAATCTTATTACAAACTTAGATCTAATATTATATAAACTATCTTTATGCAATATTAAATATTAACCAAATAATTATTAACTGCAAAATAACCACTAAACAAAGGCACCATATATAGAATCAAAGTAGTAACTTTATGATGCAATTTCAATTTTTTGTGCTTGTGCTTCCATGTTTAACTTAGATGCGCATTTAAATCTTTTCTTCACTTCATTGTTCAAACCTTCTCTATTTCTTGCTATCTCTATTGCATAAAATTGTACTCGAGGCACTAAAATAGTGTTTTGTTCTGAATAATCTCCCTTAGTGTCTGCTCTCAATAAAGTGCCAAAACTATAGTCTTCAACAATGTTTTTGAATTTTTCACAGAAAACCCTCCATCTAGCTTTGTTAACGCTATTCTTTATTTCATTTTCATTTATGCATCTAACATCTAAGTCAGGAAAATCTTGTCTGAATTGTGTGTATATTAGGTCGTCATGAGGTGTTAGACGAAGCAATCTTGTGTCTACAGAGCAGAGAACCTGTAAATCATATTGATTTGTTAATAAACAATGTAAACAAGAGAAGTTTCAGTAAGGATATAAAACTTAATACTTCTATAGTACATAATATATGTTTATGCTAATACTAATTATAATGAAATAAAAGTCAAAATTACAGACTTTCAGAATTTCACTGCTGAAACAAAAACAGAAACTTTTTTATTCACTGTATATTATAAATAATACTTATTGAAAGTCACTCTTTATGTTTAATTACCACTGGTTTGGAAAAAAAACAAAAACAGAAACAGTAGAAATAGATTGGTAGCGATCGCCACTTTCCCAGGGGTTATTACCATCCATAAATTCCTTAATATTGTAATAACCCCTTTTATACAAACTTAGTTAAATAAACTTTGAGCAGGTCAAATTTTGTATGTTTTCTGGGATTTTGTTGTAGAAGCTTATAACATCGCCATTGTAACTGTAGAACGTAGGCCTCCCCGAAGGAATACTAAAAAATATAGTCCTGAGCCACTTGCATCCATCGACAACCTGCATCTCTTTTTAGATCGTCACTCCATATAGTGGAGGGCCACTCTACACTTCGATTACCGGTACGAAGCTGCTACTCGAGAAATTTTCTATCATAAATTATGAATCTTGACCATATTCTGTTTTTGACAAACAAGTACAAATTAAGCAATTAGGTTTAAGAAAGTTTTTTAAAAGATCAAAATCTCAATCACATCTAAGAATAAATTATTTATACAAACATTAAAATATATATCACTGTGTTCCATGGCTTTGGCCGCCCACAAATGCTCCAGGGTTTCATCGTTCCCAAATTCTTCTGCAGGCCGGGTTAAAACATCCTTGAACATACAAAAAATACTTATCAAATAGAACCCAAATTTAAGTATTCCGAGCGGTTTTAAATAGGTATAAAAGCGCTAACCATATCTAATTTTATGAGTAGCAAATAAGATTTTGTGTGGGGTACAATGTGATTTTCTTCTCAAATTAATTAACGGTATTAAGGAGAAAAACAAAACTTCTTAATATGTGTCATAAAACCCTATTTCTCTATCTGGTCTGTGCTATTACTCCACGGAATTAAAACGTAGTCTAGCTCTAGTATAAAGATAAATAAATATGTAACTCTGCAGTCTGCACAAAATAACCTAGAAATACAAAAATTCAAAACATAGCAAAGAGAATATAATGTCTTTGCGTTATATATAGCCAAAGAGCATTTTTTTATTTATGGCAACCTTACTTTTACTGCCAATCTCCAGTCAATAAATAATACTTGTAAGAAACGGCGACAATAAAAATGAAAACTATGATTCTGATTAAAAACCTGTGGCGGCGCTGTCGTCGTGCCACAAGCGAAACACATCGAAGCCTAAATCGCACTAACAAAGTTCCGAAGTTAAAGCAGCATATATAGAATAGCTCCGAACTACCAATCGGAGCGTTGGCCGCTCCCCGGGCAGAACACCTTGCCCGGCGGGAGATGTCCCCTTTTTCTTCCACCTGCGACAGTGGTGACCCCGACGTGATATGAACACGCAACCAACAACCTTCAGAAAACTACAACTTCAAACCTTCATCATCCTCAAGTACTCCATTCATTCGCTCCCGAGCAGATATTGTCTGCAGTCTTCACATTCTGCAAGCCATCTAGCTTTACAAAGGTTCATCGCAGCACTGTAATAATAATGCTTCCTGTTCCTTCAAGCTACTCTCTGCGCTACAATGTTCAGCACGGCTCTGAACCTTACTGCTCGCCTCTGCTTCACGGTACTCTCGCAGATTACTTGCCATCTTCTCGACTCACCGCAGACTACAAGGCAATCCCTGGCACTTGCTCCGGCTCATCGTTCTCATCGCCATCACTTGCAAGTGCGTAGTATGGCATGCATTACACACCAGCATAACGTTCGCACTGGCGTCACTTGCCCTTACACACACAGCATGCATTCCACACCTCCATTAAGGACGCACCGGCAATCGGACTGCACTATCGACCTCCGGTCTGAGCAGGCGGTGATGTGGCGGCGCTGTCGTTGCGCCACAAGCGAAATACATCGAAGCCTAAATCGCACTAACAAAGTTCCGAAGTTAAAGCAGCATATATAGAATAGTTCCGAACTACCAATCGGAGAGTTGGCCGCTCCCCGGGCAGAACACCATGCACCTTCCACCTTTTTTCCTTCCACCGGCTACAAACCGAATAAAATTAAGAACTAATGAAATATGAAATGACCTGTACTGAAGTTTATTCAATGAACTAGCTGTGCCCCGCGGTTTCACCTGCGTATATCACGCTTCTGCGCCTTGCGACATACGAACTTCGAGAGAGACATTACGACGGACGGTTGCTGAATTAACAAAGATTTAAAAAGTGAAATATGTTACTAAAATTACATGGTTAACGTAATTGGTGGTTATGCATGATACTGGTACGGATACGAATAATGTGGCCTAGTTTGTACCGGTGTTACTATTTCACATTTTAACATGAAAAAGTAGTTATTGTGACATAACTGTAATAGTTAAACATATGGCATCGCAGACTTCTTTGTAGATATTGATATCCTCTATAAAACTGAAGTACATTACTTTGCTCTATTATTAATAGTTTCTGCAGCGTACGCGATATAAGGATTCTGTTTGGTTTTCATACGGATCCCTAAGTTTTTGAAAATATTATGTAGCCTATGTTCATCAGCGATAATGTAGAATTCTAATGGTGAAAGAATTTTTCAAATCGGTCCAGTAGTTTCGGAGCCTATTCAATTCTAACAAACAAACAAACAAACAAATCTTTCCTCTTTATAATAGTAATAAATAATAAAATAAATAAAATAAAAAATAATAATATAGTAGTGTAGATGAAGAATATTACATAGAATTAAAATAAAATAAAACTGAATTCATTACCACATTTGAAATATTAAATAAAACTATTTGAAGACTATTAAATTCTAAATAATGAATATTATTTAAACCTAAATATTTCATAAGGCAATTGAAAACATTTTTACTTTTTTTAGAATAAATTAAAAGAGAACGAATTTCTGTAAGTAGTAGGTAGAGGTATTTTAAGTTTTACCAAAGTGTTAAATAATGAAGTATGATCATATAAAGGACACGAAAAGAAAATATGGTTGAGGTCACCGATATCTAAACCACATTCACATATAGAAATATTTTTAATATGAAGCCTAGCACGGTGAACCGAATTACAACAGTAACCCAAGCGCATTCTACATAACATTGATGTATGTTTCTTATTTAAGGTTAATTTATAAAGCCAAGGCTTAGAAGGAATGGTAGGTTGAATTTTGGCATATTGACACCCTTTTGTCATTTTGGTTTTGTTCCAATGTTTTGACCACCTATCTCTATACAATAATTTCGTAGCTCTTATAAGGCCATAGCAATAATTTTTAAATAGGAAAGTATCCCCACATACTATAGCTTGTTTAGCAAGTTTGTCAGCATATTCATTACCAGATTTACCAACATGAATAGGAATCCAAACAAGACAAATATTGATATTTTGAAATTGGTATAAGAATAGAAGTTTCTTAATTTCAAATATTAAAGGATTGCGGGAAATGTCATAGAAAGGACTGCATGACAATGCCTGTAAAGAACTAAGAGAATCTGAAAATATCACCCTTGATTTTAATTTAAAACTATAGCAATATTTTATTGCTTGTAAAATGGCTAACATTCCTCTTGTAAAAACTGAAGATTCGGGAGGGCTTTTCATTTTTTGAACTATTCTCCAATTTTGATGGAATATTGCGTAGCCAGTGCAACCTTTAGAGTTAATTTTAGAAGCGTCTGTAAAAATATAATCATAACCTGGAAAATTCTTATCCAACGCAAATACAATTTTTTTATTTGGTTCAATAGAAAATTTATTTAATCCTATATTTGATATAGGATTAAATAACTTAACATAGGGTCTTGTTATAATTTAACATTGGTAAATAATATAACATTGGGTCTGAAAAGTGCAACATCAAACGAATCGGAGGAAAGAGGCAGAGTCACCGACCTATAAATAGAATCTAGTAAGGAATTATATTGTTCATAGCTTTTTACTAGGTTAGGTGTTTCTTTATTACGCCAGTATTTTCCTAAATTAATTAAAATGTAATGAGAAAGTAAACGAATTTTAGGGATTAGTGAATGATTGGAAAATAGAAGAACCCGAAAAAAAAGCATCTGATAAATATTGTCATCTAATAAAAAGTGGAAGATCACCGCATTCAATCTGCAAGGCATTGATAGGCGAAGAATTCATAGCGCCTATAATTAATCTCAAAGACTTGTTTTGAACGAAATCTAAAATTTTTAATTCTTTTTTTATTAGCAGGTTCAAGAAGAAATGAGGCATAATCTAATCGTCTTCTTATATACATTATAAATTAATTTTAAAGAATATGGATGGGCGCCCCACCATATCCCGCACAAAGCTATAAGAATGTTTATATTTTTTTTCTTTTTTTTGGGTATAAATGATATGAGGCATACCGGATAATTTATTATCAAGAATTACACTAAGGAATTTAACTTGATGAATATTTTCGCGCAGATAATTAAATGGCGAACCTGTATATCGGGTAAAACTCTTATGCGGGAAAAAAAATTACTGTATTACTTTTATTTGGGAAAAGTTCTAGCCCATGATCATCTAGTCACGTGGCCATAGAGAGGAGATCTTGTTCTATCGCATTAGCACAGGATTCTATACATTTATCATTTACATTAACTAAGATATCATCAGCATATTGCAAAATTCTACACTTTGAAATGGACTGGTCTAAATCTGACGTATAAATATTGTGTAGTAAAGGACTTAAAACGGAACCTTGCGGAAGGCCTTTGAAGACCTTGCGAGTATATATCATCAATTTTAATATGTATATACCCATCTACAAATAAATTGATAATTAAATTTGTAAGTTTTAGGATATATTAAGCTTAAACATCTTTTCTCTAAGGATGTTAAGTCTGACATTATCGTAAGCAGAAGAAATATCAAGAAAAGCAGTAAGGACCGATTCATTTCTCGAAAATGCTAGTCTAATATCTGAGATGAAGATTGAAAGACTGTCATATGTGCTTTTACCTTTTCTGAATCCGTATTGAGTATTTGATAAAAATCCATGACTTTCTACATACCATTCAAGACGATTCTTGATCATGTGTTCAAAGGTTTTAATTAAAGTTGAGGATAGAGCAATCGGTCGATAGGAAGAGCCATCGTTAGGGTTTTTGTCAGGTTTCTAGATAGGCAACCTATGTAAACAAAGCGTTAACGACGACGGGCGTTCTAAGGGATCAAAAAAAGATTCACATGGAATACTTTGAGATAGCTCCTCTCTCGAAGGAGCAGAAAAGGGGGCAATTTTGTCTAGAAAAGAATTTATTGATTGAGAGGGAATGGCACCACTGTGAGAACAAGATAAAAAACAACAGCGAAATTTTCTTATATTGCGCTAAGCAACCGATGAAGGAACTGAGGGAAATATTGAGAAACAAAAGGCTTACCAACTTGTTTGTTTTTTTGTGCGAGGATTATTTTTAGTCACTTCTTGTATACGTTGAAGGTGTGAATAGTTTTCCGAACTCATGTCTAATTTATATTGTTTTGCGGCTTTTTTTCTATTACGAATGGCCTCAGTACATTCAGAATCCCACCATGGAGGGGAGGGCTTACACTTATTATTTAGTTTTAGTAGGAATTGTTTGGTCTGCTGCATTTATAATTGCGATTGTAAATGCTTCAACAATTGAAATTAAATTATTTTCAGAAATATTTACCGGCTCCGTGGCGTAGTGGCTTAGCAATGAGTTGCAACGCTTGGGGCCGCGGGTTCGAATCCCGCACGGAACGAGTATTTGTACGGCCTACAAATAATTGTTCCTGGTCTGGATGTTTGTCCTTGTCCAATATATGTTTGTAAACTGCCTCCACAATACAGGAGAAAATCCTAGTGTGGGGGTAACGTTTATTTAAAAATAAAAAAAAAAATCAATTTTCAGAAATAGGAGCGATTTTTAGAACTTCATTGTAAAGAATACTATTATACAAGTTCCAGTCTGCTCTGTCTAATTTGTATTTAATACAAGGTTTTTTGTTAATTTTTGCCGAGTCTTTGTTTGGAAAGGAAATCAGAATAGGA